TGAAGTTGTCAACTCCACCTCAACTGCACCACTTTGAATGTGCTTTATTAACATGACAGATTCATCATACTTAACATCACATCTGACAATAAACTTAGACGATTTAAGATTTGGGCACCACATTCTATAACCCTTAACCCATTCGCATAACCAAGGAAAATGCACTTCTTTGACCTTGGACTTAGCTTATCATCATTCATATAAACATAAAGAGGACAACAAAAAATTCTTAAATGAGAATAAACAGCAGGTTTATCGGACCATACCTCTTATAGTGTTTTGTAATCTATTATTGTAGATGGTGACCTGTTGACGAGGTAATACATCGTATTGATCGCCTCAGCCCAAAAGTCATTTGACAAACCAGCATTACTCAACATGTTGTGGGCCTTCTCTAGAAGTGTCATATTCATGCGCTCAGCAACTCCATTATGTTGCGGCGTCTTTGGAGTGGTCAAGTGATGAACAATTCCTTCACTCTTGCAAAAATTCACAAACTCCGTTGAAGTGTACTCTCTAGCATTATCAGTCCTCAAGCACTTGACATTATTTCTAGTCTGCCTTTCAACCATTGCTTTCCACTGCTTGAATGTGTTAAATATATCTGTATTTTTCTTTAATGTGTAAATCCACACATTCTTAGAGAAATCATCTATGAAAGAAACAAAATATAGGGATCCACCTTTTGACACAACCGATGCAGGGCCCCAAATATCTGAATGAATATAGTCAAGAATACCTTTTGTGGTATGTTCTGACGTGCGAAACTGTATCCTACACTGCTTACCATAAATATAGTGCTCACAGAAGTCCAACTTGCACTTCTTCACATCATTGATCAATTTGTGTTTGTTAAGTTATACTAAACCTTTTTCACCCATATGGCCCAATCGCATATACTACAACTAAGTCAAGTTAGAATCACAATCATTAGATGCAGAAATTGTTGCTCTATCTATAATAGTATTCCCAAGCAGCACTTATAAATTCAATTTGATCTTCTTGCCTTTTAGCACAACCAGAGCACCTTTAAAAATCTTTAAAACTCCACATTCTCTAGCAAATTTGCAGCCATTGGAGTCTAAAGTACCCAAATAAATAAGATTTTTCTTCAAATCTAAAACGTATCTCACATCAGCCAAGGTTCTAATAACTCCATCATACCTTTTAATAGTAATTATCCCAACACCAATGGTCTTGCAAGTTGCATCATTCCCCATCAAATTGATTCCCCATCAATGCTCTTAGATGTGGCGAACCAATCCCGAAGAGGGCACATATGATAGGAACGTTCAGAATCAAGAACCCACGAGTCTTTAAAGTTGTCGCAATTTGTCGAGACTGACAACATATTATTTGTTCCACTTATCGAGCTTCCATCGACTGTATTGACTGCTTCAGAAGTTCATCTTTCTTTCCCTATGAGTTTCTAACAATGATTCTTAACATGCCATTTTTCTCTTGTAGTAATAACAATAAATATTACTTTTTCTTGATCTAGATTTGGATCTAGACGAGTCTTGTTTTTCGTGTCTCTTTCCACTTCTCTCAACAGATCTCCCTCTAGCCACTGGACCATCTGCATGTGGCTAAGCATTATACTGTCTCTTTCTCAAATTGTTAGAGAGAAGAGTCGAAATTACATCCTCCATCTCTATGGTATTTTTTCCATAGAGCAATGTTGTCACTAGATATTCATATGAATGAGGGAGTGATGATAATAGAATTATGGCCTTATCCTCATCATCCATCTTAACACTAATATTCAATAATTCGCAAATAATTTTATTAAAATAATTCAGGTGTTCATGGATATTTGTACCTTCATCCATCCGCAGGGTGTACAATTTTTGCTTAAAAAACAATCGATTTATGAGGGACTTCGTCATATACAAACTCTCAAGCTTCGACCAAATATTTGATGCTGAATCGTCATTGACAATATTAAATAACACTTCGAGCGATAAGCACAATTGAATAATGCTCATAGCCCTCTTATCTAAGTCTTCCCAGTCCTCATCAGACATGGATTCTAGTTTCTTCGACTTGCCTTTCAGAGCTTTATGTAAACCTTGTTGCACTAGCATATCCTGAATATTAATTTGCCAAATTCCAAAATTATTTTTGCCATCAAAGTTTTCTACCTCGAATTTTGGATTCAAAACTTTTACTGCCATATCGACAACCCCAAACCAGGCTCTGATACCACTTGTTGTGCGCAGAAGCTCTAAACCCGATAGGTTAATTTTTTGGCAAATAAAGTATGAGAAAAAGAATTGACATAAAAAACAAGCAACAAGCAACAAAAATAAAGCAGAAAATAAATAACAGAAAAAAGAACACTAGGATTTAGGTGGTTCGTCACAATTGTGACTACATCCACAGGTGAAGACGATAAAAATAAAAATAAAAATTACAAGACAATTTACTTGAGAGAACCAGAGACTCAATCTTCCACAATGCCATATTCTCTACAATTTTCGCTCTCTGTAAAAAACCCCCAAAGTTTCTCTCTATTTTTCTTTATGCACTTTCTCTATCTACAAGAGAGGACAAACCCAAAAGTGCACATACGTATGGCCTACTTTTCCACACGCACTTTCTCTCTCTAGAAAAACATCTTTTTATAAAGAGAATAAAACCCCAAAACAAGTACGTCAAACCAATCTCAACTCTCCTAACTTTATTAACAAAGAACTTTATCCCTATCCATGTGGACCTAATGCTCTATCCTAATCCAAGTAGGACTTATCCATAAACTTAGATCTTAAATAATAGGCTTTACCCAAATAAATAGAAACCTAAATTAGAGGAAACAAATCCCTTAAAATTAGGTATTTAAGAATTCAAGATAAATATCAATACCCTAAGCCACGTGGCCAGTCAGCGTTGTCGAACTCATCCCCAGATTTACAGGATCCAAACACCCTGTGTGGTGAACCTGCATGACTACCATTCTTAAGATCAATGACCGCTCCCTTCGATTCAAAATTTGAACTTTCAACGACAACTGACTCCCTTTCAAAGTAGCTGGAATCTCCCCAAATAAAGGCTCCTCATGCTCCCTAAAAACCACAACAATTACCAATTTAGAAGAATCACTAGTGGAGCCCAATCCCTTTTTTTTTTTTTGCAATCAAAGTCTCCTTAAAAGGCACATCTCTTGAAAAATTACCAGTAAAATCATACAGTTTACCTATCGACACTGATCTCCTTTTCAAATTAGTAACCGGTAAATTAAAAAATTTTCCACTAGTGATCTTATGTTTGAAATGATGATTCTGACGATGGCCACCAGAATTCCCATCCATTGGCTATTTGGGTTCAACCCCCTTTTGCACAGTCACCCCACCATTACGATGCAAGGTAGCCTCCCTGCCATCTACCACATTCCTAGAATGCAGACCATCCATCATCGAGGAGGACATAGAAGTCTTATCATTAGCCGAAACTTTAATAAGAAAAATATCCATACCCACACATAACTGGACAGTTGTAGGGAGAGGCTGGCCCACCACCATCCAGACCTTAACCCTGACCGAGCATTGGTTAACACCTACAAAGGACTTCCAATCCAGATCACAATACTTACGATAACTATTCGCTAAACACTTGATGACCAATAGCTTCCAGACATGAAAAGGAATATCCCAAAATCTCACCCAGGAGTAAACTCTCTGAGCCAAGGACGAGTGATCTTATGGTTTTCATAGATCCAAGGAGGACGAGTGATCTTATGGTTTCCCTAGATCCAAGGAGAGGAGTCTACCTCGGACTCTTGGGAATCTAAAACGCAGCGCATGACTAACATCCACTTCAGAATGAAGCACAGAAGCAACTGTATTCTCTCTAATAATCTTCACTTGTATAATGTAGTTTAGAGGCTACCTTCTATTGGCCCAAACTCCAAGACCAAATAAGTCATTGGAGGGAAGTGAAAAGGAACCCACCACACAGCTCTTAACAACAAAAAGACCATTGTTCCACAGCTCTTGATCAATCGAAACCAGAGCGAAAAACATCTGTACCACCCCTACATCATGCTCTACCCAAGCTTGCTGACTTTGCAATCCTCTTCTCTTGTAGCTCTTTTAACTACGCTCACCTTCTCAAATAGTCCGCTACTCCCTTATCAAAACCACCCTCTTCCCCCCTCTTCTCTCTCTCCAAATTCAAAATTTTCCTCTCTCCTCTTCCCTTTTTCAAACTCTACCTTCAAAGAAACCTTGCAAATGTTTATCGTATATTTATTTTTATTTAAGGGAAAGTATATGATGAGACCATTTACTTTTGATACAAGGTGGTTACAATAATCATAATCATTAGATGTGAAATTGGGTGGCTACATTTATTTTATTGATCAAGCTCAAAGTTCAAAAGATTTTTTCTCAAACTTTGTGACACATGGAAGCTATCAAACTTCACATCGGATGTTTGTAAGTAATTGTGGCCTCCCTATTCCAAAGGTAAATGGTCCCATTATATACAATCCCTTTATTTAATCATTATATTATTACACTATTTGTCTTCTACAATATACTTAGACTTCTTAATTAAATAAATTGTTAGTTTATTTCCCCAATTGATTTGGAATCCCAAGTTGATTAAATAAATATTTTATTTATGTCAATATCTTCGTCCACATCCATGCCTCAAAATATTTTTTCTGTTTCAAAAATATTTATTTTGCTCTCATAGTTCAATCTTTTCTTAATTTCCAAAAGTATTTATTTATTTATTATAAATTCACTATTTGATGATAAAATAAATGTAGTAGACAATAAACACTTAGACATGAGACATATTCTTAGTACTTGCATATTTTTGAAAAATATTATACAATACTAATTTTTTGGAAGCCTAAAAAGCTGTACTTCTAAAAAATTCTACGTGTTCTTTTAAAATTTTCAAAAGTGGGATCCAAACCATCCCGATGGCCGATTCAATTGTCCTAATCGGTATTTAGGGTGACCATTCCGGGTTTGATATCCGGATTTTCAAACATCGACCGCGACAAAACCCCTTGCCTAAGTGCAAAAGAAGAGGCTGGAAGGTACTGGGGTTTTGAGGGTTGGTTATCATCGAGTCTCTGCGCACAGAGGCAGCGAAGGAAAGCAAGGATGCCCCGCACCAGTGCAGTCGAGTCCCCTGGTTGTCCTCCTCTCAGAGCTCTATCCACCGATGTTCTGGGCCTAGTCAAAGGTATGTTCCTTCACCAAACTAAATACCTCCAAAACCTCTCTCTCTTACTTTTTTCAGGATCGTATTCCAACTTTTTTCTGGGTTTGGGTTTTGTTGCAGTTGTTGAAGGTCGTGCTGAAAGAGGAGCTCCCCAAGTTGTGGAGAGATGGGGTGAGCCTGATCCTCGTCTCTCTGTGCTTGCCTCTTCCCTTTCCATTCATAACTCTAAACCAGTAAGTAAC